ATTACAAAACTAATTACATAGTTTACGACTAATTTGCGAGACGAATCTTTTGAGTCTAATTAGTTCATAATTTGACAATATTTTGCTACAGTAAACACATGCTAATGACGAATTAATTATGTTTAAAAATTTCGTCTCGTGAAATATCGACGGATTATGTAATTTGTTTTTTATTAGTATTTAAACACTCCAAACAACGCTCTCCCGACACATCTCCGCTCGATCAAACACCCCCTAATTCCTCTTATCTTTTCTAAAGCCCGTACTCTTTTCCTCTCTGGCTCTCTCTTTTCCCATTCCTCTCTCTGAGCTCTCTCTCAAAATATCGGGTTGAATCCTCCCTTGTGATTTCCTGTTCATCTTCCAGATGCGGGGGAGAGTGAGATAAACTGCTTGCTGGTAGCCGTGAGAGCGCCTCCGCTCTAGTGGCTCTCCCTTGACCACCCATTCGAGCTTTTTTTTGTTGAATTTTTCTGTTTGTGTTTTGGCGCTGTTTATTCGTCGCGTCCTCCAAATCGTCCTGTGGTAGTGCTTGTTCGTGTTGTTGCTGCGTCGACGAAGGTACTCTTCCCTTACCCTAATCCTATATGAAGGTACTCTGACTGGTTTTTGTTTTCACTGTCCCCATATGCAGGCATCGTTTCCAACCCTTGATTCTGCAGGTTTTTGGTTTTGATTCGCCAGATTGTTCACAGGTAATTTCATCACTTTGTCATGCATTCTTATTCTTCCCTGAATCGTGGAAACAGTCTGATGCTCAGATCCCTAATTTGTGTGGTTTGCTTTTAGTTCATTTGGATCTGTATTGTGTGTTTCAGTTTTGAGCAGCAGCAGCTCATTATCAGTTCACAATAGCTTGCTTTGCTCAACTTAAATATATATTGTTTTGGTTTTAATCTGAATTATTTCACAGCTACTAGGTGCTGTGTTTTTTAGTTTTTCAGTTTCAGACTTTCAACAGCAGCCAGGTCTTGAGTTTCAGACTTTCAACAGCAGCCAGGTCTTGAATTATTTCAGTAGCCTGCTGATTACTTCATAGTGTTTTGATTTATAGTGGACAACGGTAGAACAAGGATACCAGGTCTTGAGTTTTTTTTTTTTTGTCTACTAGTTATGTACTTATGTATATTGCTGCAATAGCAAAATTGAATTCAAATAGTTTTTGGTTCAGTTAAGTTTTCATTTCAGTTATTTATTATCATGAGACTTTAGTTGTGTGAGGTTTTCAGTATTAAAGTTCTTTCAGCTTCAGTATATTCATTTTCAGTTTTATTATGTCAGTTTAGTGCCTTCAGTTTCAATCTTATTATGACTGCACATATCTGCCACCATATAAGATGTTGAGTTTCAGTTTCAGTTTCAGTCACACAAGGTTTGTGTGTTTCAGTTTTGCATGTTGCGTGCAGTAAATAAATTTTAGAGATCCTAAAAATTTAGTTATAGCAAAGCGTGCTTTCAGTTTCAATTATATTATGATTGTGCACATATCTGCCACCAAATAAGCAGATATGTTGAGTTTCAGTTTCAGTAACACAAGGTTTGGGGGTTACAGTTATGCATGTTGCATGCAGTAAATAAAGTTTAGAGCTCCTGAAATTTAGTTAGAGAAACCAGTACGCTAAAAATAAATTTCAATTGCAAAATAATTACTTTGGTTCATTTTTTTACGACATAAACACTGCCTCAAGTCTAATACCTTGGACTAAGAGCAGCATTAAGTGTTGCGCCCCTGCATCGTCCTACTTTATCTGTGATTAGCTCTAGTATTCCTGTTTGTGATGAAATCCAAAAATGGGCATTCCATTTCTTCTACAATTTTCTAGGAACTTTATGAAATCAAAGCAGTGCAATTTCACATGCTCCAGTTTATCCTTACATAAATTTGTCGTGTTTAAACATTTTTTGGCTTTTAATGTTTGCTTAATCAGAAATTTATTTATTGGTGTGATGATGCATCAAGCTATGCATTCTAGCAGCTTCCTCGATGCAGGAAGTTGGCACCTGTACCTATAGGGTGTTCGGCTTTATCACATAATCGGATGCAGAATCATTTGTCTTTGTCTGTGTTCACTTTCTTGGACGATCCATCAGTCATTGGTATAGTTCTGCACTTGAATTCCTATCTGAAGAAGGAGGCTGCAGCAGGGGCCAACTAGTGAATCATGATGGTCCGTAGTCTTGCTGGTAGATACGGGTCACAAAGCATCAACAACTTGTGATGTTGAATTCCCATCCTGGTGTGTTTGAGTAAACTAGCATTAGGAGCTATGGTTCAGTTAAGTTTCAGTATTCTAGTGTGTTTTGTCTGTATGTGTGTTGTGAATTAGCAGATGGTGTCTTAACTTGTTGCCCACGACCCATGAGGGCTTATGTATCTTAATAGTAGTAGTTTATCTTAAACCTTTTAGCCTGATCGCCTGTTTTTATTTAATTTATTTTTTCAGTTGTAATTCAGGTTTCATAGTCCGTAGACTTTAGTTTCAGGTTCAGTTTTTTTATTAGTTCAGTTATAGTTTTTGTTATGTTTATGTTTTCTTAATTATATATTCAATATAAGTTTTAATTGATGTCTTTGTTTTTTTTCTTTGTGTCTAGTTTCAGTTTAAGTAATTCAGTCCCACCTTGATTTAGGTACTAAATTTCAGTGTTTCAGACTTCAGTGTTGTAGTACCTGAGCCTTTCAGTTTTTTGCGGTTGCGTTCTAGGTTTTTTTATTCAAGTTAGGCAAGTCTTGAGTTTCTTGAAAATTGGTTCAGTATATGTTTGCTTCTGTTTTTCTTTAGTATATGCTTCTGATCTAATTTCAGTTTTAGTAATATATGTAGAATGTATCTTCAGATTGTATATTGATTTCAGTTTTCTGATTTTGTCCTGCAAGAAAAAGGCAAATTCTGACATGTGCAGCAGTAATCACTATGAACATGATTGACTGTGTATGATCATGCAAGATAGTCTGCATAATTGATTTATGTGTTCATGGCTAAAAAATGGACTAACCTTTATTTTTTTAGTTGGGTGAATTATTATTTTTATACATATTTGTAGAGTAGTCAGGACCTCTGCAGCGTATTAAAATACCCAAAACAATCCATTATGCTTATGATTCAAATGAGAGTAAGTCTTGGTGATTAGCTTCCTTTTGACCAGTGATATTCTTCATATATATCATATCATAGATTGCTAAGCGTTTAGATTTCTAATTCAAATGGTGCTTGTTTGAAATCGTGTCAATGCAGGCCCGGAAATGCGCGCGGAGCAGTGAAGCTAAGTGAGCCAAGAGGTCCAAGAAGAGTGGAGAAGAAGATCTGAGTACGGCCATCACAAGTGGAAGCCCGACGAGTTGCTGCACTTTTGACAGCGATTTGAAATGCCTCTCTGGAGTCTGTAGATGTTGATGCTCGCCACCCCAAAGGCAAGGGCTGGCAAGCCGTGGCGCGACGACTGAACCCCAGAGCATCTATGCAAGGGTACTGCGTATATGATCCCTGTTATGTTGAATGGAACATATCATCCTGACATGAAGATGAACTGTTGCTGCTGTTTTTTTTTTATGTAGAAGAGGATGGAAAGAATCAATGAGAGGTTGAATATTTTGTAGAACCTTTGTGACCAACAGGACCAAGGTGGACATCAGCACCATGCTTGAGGAGGTTGTGTGTACTATGTGAAGTTCCTGCAACTTCCAGATCAGGGTGATGATCTGCATGCAGAATCTGATTCCATGCTCTTCTGCATCTAATATGTTTATTGGTGTTGTTCATAGAACTGAGTTCGTACTTGATTCCTAAATAGCAGGTTTTGTAATTTACATGAGAAGCCAGAAATCAGGATTCTTGAATCTGATATTTTGTTTTTCCAAGTTTGTATGCATGGCAGATTACATGATATTCAGATTGTAAGCCCAAAGAAGGAGGGAAGCAGATAGTGATGAACTAGGGTTAAGTGCCTGATTTTGATGGGTATTATCATCTTGATCTGCATCTTCATCTCTTTTTCTTCTTTGAGTTGGTTTTGCCCTTCCTTTTGTCCTCATTTTTGGCATCCGTGCTCCTGATCAGCTAGCCGAAAGATCTTTTGGATCTGTTGTTTTTTTTTTCCTTTGCTGTCCGGTTCGGGCTTATCTCTTTCTTGCGCCTCAAGACTGTTGTGTTATTGGGTGTAGATGTTGACCCACCAGGAGACTTTGTTAGCGGGTTCTGGTTTCAGTTTCCTGGCGCCCTTTTTTTCGTTGTCAGAAATTTTATTTGCCGAAAAACGCGGAATCAGTCGAATATTTGTTGCTCCATGTCCACGTGTATTGTTTTTATTGGCTAAAAAAATGACTGAAACTCAAATTGAAAACAGTCGACTGACGAGTAGTCACTTCCTCTCGAAACCCTCCTCCCGCAGTCGAACATATGCCTCAAGTACTGGATCACCGATGAAAAAGAGGCTGCGATTTCTTAAGAGATATATCTGCAGCCGCTACCTTCGTTGATGGTGTAGTCACCGTCATGCTTGCATTCGTTCGCTTACATCGTGTAGCCGTAGCAACTCCACGGGACCGGCAATGGACTATATGTCAACATGGTCATGCCCTGGTCAAGCATTATGGTCATCCCAATGGAGAACTATAAGCTAGCTCTAAGCATATTTCATATTTTAGTAGAAGAGAGATAATTTATCTCCTGATCAAGAGCTAGAATGATGCACACAACACATATTGTGCTAAACATTGAAAAAGTTGTCTTAGAGCTAGTAAATACGGAGTATCTCCTAACCCGCTTTATACAATAAAATAAAGCTCTCGTTATTGACCCACAAAGAGGCAAGAAATTACTGCTCTGTTCAAAACAAATGAACCATTCATTCATTTCCAGCAGCAAACTGATACTTGACCAACAAAGGGCCACCAGGATGTGCTCGAGATAAATTACGCCGATTAAAAAACTAGGGCATTGCCCACCACGGCAAAGTTTAGAATTAACATGTTGCTGAATATACCCGTTGCCATTTGCACCTCATGACTTCAGTTGATCAAATGCCGTCAGAAGACTAGTCTTGTAAGTTTGGATCTCAGCATATTCTCCAGAGTTGGGAGTGGAACTGACTATTGCATAGGCACCTGCCTTGTCCAAAAATCCTGCAGCTTCTTCTGCACATTACAAGAAAAAAAAAATGTTACAGGAATACTGTACATGAAAGGATAGTTCAAAACACGAAGTACTAAAGCAGTCTTCATATATGTTTGTTGGAACCTTTGGAAGGGGCGGAACAGGTGGACCTTCCAAATGAACTCTGTTCAAGTGCCAATTTTAACATGGCCTGAGAGCAATCTTTGATCAGAATGGGTGGCCTGCATATGACTTAAGTTTCATGTGTATTTGGCACCAGTTCGACGAGCAAATTGATGGCTCACCAAAATTTGGCTGAGGATTCCGCCAGCCTGAGTTCTACCTGCAGTTGGCGAGAAAACCAACGGCAGCATGAAGCGAGTTTTGCGCTGCCAATTATTGGCGTCTATCCAAACAGAACACGCCAAGCATATTCAAAAAACCAAAGGCAGCATGAAGCGAGTTTTGGGTTGCCAATTATTGGCGTCCATCCAAACAGATAGCCAAGCATATTCAATTGCATAAATGTGGCAAGGCAGCGATTGACATAGATCCAAATCAGCCCTTGGTCTATTCTACTACCACAGGATAATCTGGTGCTTTCTTTCTAGAGATTTAAACTGTTATGGGTTTCTCTGTAACTCTGTTGTGTTCTTCTTGGCATATTTTGATGTTGCCATTTTTTTGTTTTTACTGCATCTTTGATGAAAACTAAATAACAAATAACAAATGGGTCAGTATGCACATACAACAAGTTTTAAATGTTCGGTAACACAAAATAGTGTCATTTTAGCAACAATGATGAATACATGCACTCCTAGAGCCATGAGTAAAAAACTCAACCTGCTGGGGAAAGGCTGCCCCCACAACATTGCACTTGAAGTTTCCCGCGTGAAGGTCGAGAAGCACCCCTAAGGCCAGCTGCCCTGGACGTGCCAACAAGTGTCGAGGGCAAATGCCTGCGTGGCTGCGTCCATGTGCATCTCGCCGAAAGTGATCATATGGTTACACATATAACTCAGGAGTGTTTTTTTAACACAGGCCTGTTTAAATTCGCTCCCAAGGAGAATCAAACCAGGACCTGGGTGCTACCTGAACTCTGCTAACCAGTCAGGTACCGCCCTAGATCCCATGAGAGCTGGACCAAAGCGGCAATCCTATCACATGATCAGTTAGAAGATCACAAGTGAAAGTAGAAATCGAAGAATTTGATATTCTTGGCAACTTTAGGTAGGCATGGTTCTCTTCTTTGGTGTGTAGTATCTAGAATGGACATTCAAAACATCAACCACCAAAATTGAACTTTTAATCATTGAAGATGACCTAGATGAAGAGGGAAACGTGGGAAGTTTGTCACTGGGGGCTGGTTTGTACAAAAATTAATCAACAGCCACATGATTCCAATCGTGAGAATATGTAAATGTAAAGTAAAGAAAAAATTCAAAGACATAGGAATATTTAAATGAACCAACAACTTTGGGGTGACAGAGAAGCCAAAGTAGACATAGGGATGGGAGGTGGCTAGTATGTTTTTACCCACCAGATTTTGAAAGTGCAGCGAGAGCTTTTAGAGTTTCTTTTCGTGTTTTATCATCTTTAGCACCTTCCAATACATTCAGAAGTTCCTGAGCTCCACCCATCTCTACCACCTTCATTCTTCTTTGGTCTGCGCCCAAAGGAAATTAGTAAGTACATTCCATAAAATAAAAATAACTAAAGACAGTTTGCAATGGATGTTTAAGGCAAGTGAAGATTGAAGTTAAATTTCATGTTATAGGAAATAGAATGGAACATTTAGCCTAGACTTGGAACTACAGGACTCCATTTTTATATTTCTAGGTAGAGTTAGGACTAAGAGTATGGAAGCAGTGATATGTAGCTATTGGCAATCACACTCAGATTATGGAAGCAGTGATGTATAGTTATTGGCAATTACACTCAGATTATGGAAGCAGTGATCAATAGGTATGGGCAATCAGCTTAAACTTCGGGACTTGGCCAAGATCGTACAGTTATGGACCACAGCAAGTGGATAATTCTAAGACAAGACAATGTGAATGGCAACAACCAATGTGATAGACTGATAACGACCTTTAAGTATGATAGGTGACAGCCTTTAGTCAAGAAACCCATAACTCATGGGCCATGGACCCATTTGATCAAACCCAAGTAACTGGTAGCTGGAATTCTGTATTGTTCTCATACATGGAACATGTGTGCATTATAATATTGTTGCAAAATATAGGATGAAAAGGCAACGATCTGGTATTTTGCAGATAGCTTCACACCGGAAGATAAGAAACATTTTTCTTTTCATAGTTAATTGAATTTGAATGATAATCTGGACCAAAATAAAAATGTGTAGTACTCCTATCAGCTCTAAAATGCAATCAAATGAGGCAAGCCAAAACTGTAACCTTTAGACCAAAATCTTAAGCACCAGGACAAGAAAAAGTAGAAATTCAATTTTGCTACAAGACATGGCTAGCTAGGAAACCACTACCTTGTGTACAAGTGCTTAGGAGATAGATCTTCAAAGGTTTCTTAATTAACTAACATTCTTTTTGTTTGCGAGTAGTTAACTAACATTCTTAGTTCTATGGAATAAAGAAACAATGCTACTGACCAAGTGACCAATGGACTGTACTTTTATGCAATTTTCCAACAAGTATAAAAGCGGCACAAAAACATTAGTGTTAACAATAGCACCCTTCATGTTGTCATAAAGGCCTTGTCCAGAGAAAGAAAACCATCACCAATACGGTAACAATTGTAACACGCATCTAAAAGCAATTTTATATTAAAGTACTATATAGCAAGTTTGGTTATTTCTCTCTAAACAGTTAATATCATTTTGTTAAGACCAATATGCATTAGATAACTCACTTAAGAACTGTAAATACGCTTAAATAAATAAATTACCATCCACTGCAAAACGAGCTAAACGGGAAGCTCCCATCCTCTTGAACAAGGGATCCTTGACACGCAAAAGCGAGATAGATTGCTGAAGTAGGTTATCCCCTGAAAACTTGTCAGGCAAAGTAACATTTTGAGGCCAAATAAAATATCCTATGCAGGTAATTCAATCCCAGTAGTGAAAGAATCGGTACCCATGTACGGAAAGAATTGGTAACCAACTAGGCCAGCAGTTCCTAGGAAGAATATCTTCAATATCCATCCAAATTTCTTCTCAGCTTCTTCTTCAAGTGCCCTGTCATCTGTGCACCATTTCAGTTCATGCCAAAGGGCATAATCCACATTAGTGTTTTCCCAGGACAAAATTTTAATTTAAAGAACAGAAAAATGAATAAACTTCACACATTCTTGTTGATCATATTACTTCGAGCACGGTTATGTCAGCACCACACCTGACTGTAGTTCCAAAATAAGGACATAACCTAACAATATGTGAAACAACGCGTAGTCCAGGGAAACGGCATTGCATCATGCCACTGAGATCCAGTGAGGAAATTCTACGAAGACCAGGGTAGGGTGGAGAGTTCTAAACTAACTTGTGCAGAAAATATCGGTTATGTGCTTCATCAGAGAAAGTGATACTCCCAAGACAAAATCAGGCATTCCAAGGCCTCGTTTAGTTGCGCCGATTCGGCGCCGACAAAAACACTGTAGCTAGGTGTTTTGTTTTTATTTGGTAATAATTGTCCAATCGTTGACTAATTAGGCTCAAAACGTTCGTCTCGCAAAGTACAACGAAACTGTGCAATTAGTTTTTGATTTCATCAACATTTCGTACTTCATGCATGTACCGCAAGTTTGATGTGACGGGGAATCTTCTTTTTGCATAGTGCCAAAGTTTGGAATTGGGGGGAACTAAACACCCCCCTAATTATCTCCACCAGATCGATCAACCACAGAAATGCAGCCAACAGGGCCTGGAACCTGGATGTACCTCTCTCGTCGTAGGTGCAGAGCCTTCGAGCCAATCGGAGCCCCGGGCCGCTGCCACTCCATCCGTTCGCCGCTACCTAATGCGAAATAGCAAGCGTCATAGGAGCACAGAGTTCGGCAAGCATGGATGGAACCCAAAACCCCCAGAATCTAAGAGGGGATCCAAGATGTACCCCGGCGACACCACCCCTAGGTAGGAGGACGCCACCCCCGCCGGAAACAGCCTCCGCAGCAACCAGCGCGGCCCGGCGAACGGCTGCGGTGGCGGACGGCGGCGACAGGAGGCGGCAGAGCGCGAGCTGCGAGACCCTCTGCATGGCGACGCGGTGTGGTGGAGTTCGGGGCCCAGTAGGCCGTGAGGGTTTTGAGGAAGGCCAGAGTACACGGCAGCACGGGCGTCTTTAAGTTTTTTTTTACACGACGAAATTTGCGCGCTCGGCCCGTGTGAACTTAGAGGACGCACGGCCCATGAACAAGGCTCCGCTCTCCCAAACGCGTTCTGATTTCTGCTTCCCTATATACTCCTACTCCCATGTGGCCATGTCCCATTCCCCGTCGGCCGTTGCGCAGTCAAGTGCAACGGCGACGGACCACGTGCCATGCCATGCCGCGCACGCTCTCCTCGCGCGGCGACGACGCTGCCTCTCCGATACCTGACGCCATGATGCTCTCGCAATCCATCAATTGGATTGGCAGATGCATGTGTTGGCCACTCGATCGTGACCGGAGCTCGCCGTCTGAAAGGTTGTAATCTGGCGGCAGGAGATGCAGGCATCCCCGGATCATGCGCGCCCGCCAGGTGCTTGACGGATTGCGCGGGCACAGGAAGACGCACACCGCAGGTGCTTGCTCTCTGTACTCGAGTGTTAACTTGTGGCGAGCGCACCACGCGCAGTCTCGCTCCTCTGTTAGTATTTCCCTTTCTTAATCATGTGAAATCATTACGAAATGACCCATGACTCGTGGTGCTTGGGTTCTGGACGGCATGGTCGTTTGCAACGCTGCACTGCCACTGCGCGTCAGTGCCATTACAGTTACGACCGTTTGTGTCAGTTCTACAGTTTATATGATAACTACTCTATCCGCTGCAGCATCTGAAATTCTGAATCAACGTCCCTGAAATTAGCTTGCATATAGTTTTGCAGTTTGTATCAGACTGTCAGTGATGTGATGGCACGGTAGATATGCAATAGAAATGGTGTTTCGCGCGGCTAAGTGGAGCTTACTAGATGATTTGCAATTGAAATGCATCGTTCAACTGTGATTAATTATTGACTACGAACACATCTAGCGCTGTGTTTTTAGGTCTGCGCTTTTCACCTTTGATCTCACTGGGCATCACACACTAGAAAAAATAGGTAACGGTTTTGCAGCCATAGGACGAGAATAATTGACAAAAGCAAGATCATAAAGAAGATAAACTACTCTGTTCCATGATCTATAATTCCATGGACTACAGAATGGTGCCCAAACCATATCAGTTGTCCAGTATTCAGATAACAAGACCACAAGTTGAACTGTTATAAAATCACAGTATCACAACTATGTTGCTAACTAGAGTTTCACTTTATCCAGAATCATCAGTTGCCATTACACACTGGAAGGGAGTTCTCCAAAGGTTATAGTTGTCTAAATACTACCTATGTAATACACTATACATGAATGGCTTTGGTGTTGAACTATTTAACTTGAGAAGGGATGTTGAAACAATCAAGTTTTTGCAATGTGCATATTAACTCAATATCTTCAAATTAATACTCGTATTCAATCCAATACAGAAACAGCATTGGTGGTTCTTAAAAAAAGTGACCATGGATTACACTACTATGCGGCAATATTACAATTTTAGGAAGCCGTATATTGCAATTGTAGTGTTATTGCAAGCTCGATTCAGTCGTTAATATTTTTTCCGAACAGATTTGGTTTATTATCACTATTGCGAATATCAGAAGGCAGAGGAGTTTCAGAGAGAAGAGAAGAGCATTGTGGTGCAACGTGCAACCACCAGCTAGGTAATATGCATGGATCCCTTGATGGTGTAGTGTCCACATCACGCATCAAGTCAGATAGATCAAGCTTGGCGACCTGAGGTGTGAACAATACTGCTAGCACATGCTAACCATCTCCGCCTCTTTTGTTAGGTCCCAGACAGAAACAGATTAGTACATCTAAGCATATCTTATCAACTCAATGATTGTGTTGTGAGCACAGAAAGAAGGCCAATTCATCAAAAAGCCAGACATTACTAGCTTCTATTTGCATGAATCTTATGTGCATTCCAAGCATGATAAGAACATACAGCAAACTGACAAAAGGTGGAAGGGATTTCAGCCTGAGAAGAGGACTAGACAGTCTACAACTCTGAGGATAGATGAACTCTTCAATACAGTGTCACTGATGATTCGTCTCCAACCTGAGAGGTGCTGTACTTCTTGGTTGATTCCGGCTTTGACATATCACCGGACCGCCTCCGGAGCATCTGGCGCATGCCGTCGGCCACACGGATGGCGGGGTTCGACTTGAACATCTTGCAGAACGCCATGTGAGCCCTCACAGCCTCCTCTACTCCTGGGTGAGCCTTCTTCCTGCATGCCTCATCTCTGACGGCCTCACAGCACAGCCCACACAGCCATTGGCCATGGAAGCCTGCTCTCACGCTGGCAATGTAGTCCGGGGTGCAGTCCTCCCTCAGGCCACAGCACTCACACTTGACCGACTCTATCTCCATTGCTTGCTTGCTACTGCTGCTTTGTGTGTCTTGATTCCTTGGACTGGAGGCTATTTGTAGGGAGGTTATTATGGTTCTGAGGGGCAGTGGTGGGGAGGGGTGGAGGAGGGTATTTATTGATGGTGAGGTATTGGTGCATGTTCTGAGGTCAGAGACTTGAGACAGAGTTAGTTGGGTGTGAGCCTCATATGCTGGCCTTTTCCTGGCATTAAAATTTTTTGGCATCGATTGGTGGCTAGAGGGGACGGGCTGCTGGTGCTGTGGGTGTGGGAATATGGGGGGCCTCAGTGCCTCACAAAATGCAAAGTTTGTCCCTTTGCTGAATTCTGAGAAAGAGAACGCTTTCCCGTGCAAATCGACCCACCTTGCCACCTTGTACTTTTCTTGGTTAACAGTTTTTTCGTTGGCCCTTTTTCAAGTTTCAGTTTTCTTCACTTATGGATTCCTGTTCCTGTAATATTTGAACTTCAAACTTTTTGTTCCTGATAATATAAAGGCCAATCATCTGTCAGGCTGAGGACACCTCACCCTGCTACCGGATTAGATTCTATGAACTAACAAGATTTCTGTCAAAGATTCATAGTAGAGCGCAGTCATCATTCCATAAAGGAAATTTAGGCTGGATGTTGTTGTCAACCTATTGGTCATCCTTTTTTTTTTGTTTATTTAAGACAAAGTTGATTCAGAGTTGGTTCCTGAGATAACCTATTGTGGTCCTCCGCATAATTCTGAGCCTTGATGTAGGACTTACATGCTAGCGTTATCTTTTGGAAGCCTTTCACTGTGACATGGTTTATGAATAGCTTTAGTCGGTTGGTGCTTCGTTTCTTGAAGGATGGAAAGAGATGGCTCCTACGATTTGGACTGTCCCATGGAATCTTGTGCCGTGCTGAGTGTCTTCTACTTCTTCTTATCAAATTGAATTAGTTACTGCATTATGGAAGTATGTAGAGTGATCGGGAATATTCACTATAATTATGCTTTAACTGTTTTTTTTTGTATAGCTGAATTTTATGTTCTAAGCAACTGATATTCAAAATAAGCGGGTTGGAGAGCTAAAGGAAAAAATAAATTAAGGCTTCAGAAGTTCAAAGAAGAATCCTTGTGAAAAGGTGAGGCTATTTGGGCCCTTTAGTTCTTCAATTTTCAACTTGAAAGTTCAAAAGATGACCTGTTCGTTTCCTTAAGTATCATCATTATATTGGTTTCTTTGAATTGTTTGATAATCTCATGTTACATATCAGGTGTCACAGCCTGATTAGGGCCATTCTATTTCCTGTATTTATGCTTCACTGTGGCAGCATGGGCTAATGCTAATGACTGAAACTGAAATCCTCAGTGCCCCATTTATTTTGATGTTGACTTGATGTTCATCAGAATTTCATTACCTTGAGAGATTATTGAATCAAAATCTATAGTTCTGGGGCCGATCTTCCTCTTTGTTGGCCCTATGCTGTAGTTCTGGGGCCATCCAGTTACTTGGAGAAGATTTCCTTGCTTTGCTAGTTCCAAGAAGAGACGATATAGCTTGCGTCTTGTTAGGGATATAATTTTTTGTGTTCAGTAGTCAGTATCTTTTTTTGCAAGGGTGGTATTATACCATATTTCGTTCTGAAGGGGGCTTTGGCCCAAAGTGTCCATGTACTCTGCATAGTACATAATAGACATGGGGTCTACAATACTAAATACGACAAAGGTTACGCCATGAATGAATACAATGCAAAGAGGCTATTAGGTTAATCTAAAAAAATTAAGAAAAATACAATGTGGCTTAGCATTAAGGAAACGCTAAGCTGAAACGCACCCCACAATTATTAGAATTTAAAATACTAAACTCTCACATTTTTTTACTAAAGTATAAGGTCAATAGATAAAAGTCAATTCAGGTTATACTCCTTGTATTGCCTATTGAATCCAATCTATACTGCCTTTCCCGTTAAGGATGCATTATTCTGCTTTATACAGTGCACAAAAAAAGGTCAGGTCCTCGGAAATCATATTATGCTGCCAGTATTACCTTTTGTTTCCAATTACTACCTTTCGGTGAAGGCTACAGTGCTTGTTGACTTTTTATCCACTTACCTTTGTCTCTTTTTTTTCTCTGATTTTTCCAAGAGAAATAAAGCTTTTTATTGCTAGCTGGAGGAGTCATTATCTACTGCCATACTATCTTATCCTTTTCTTGCTGACTAAATAGAACTGCATATTTGATCTTTGCAGGTAAACTTTCTGAATTCTTGATACAGTGCAACCGGCATTCTAAATTCATATATCACAATATATGTTAACTATGCTCTGGTTGCTGGATAAGTTAAGAAGTCATAAACCATCTGTCTCAATCTTCCATTTAAATATCATTTATATGCACATGGTGCTTCTTCTTTTGCAATTTGATTGACCACTAGTATCAAAGGCTGCATTTTAGGTTGGCCATAGGCAATCTCATCTGCTCCATGTAATGATTTCGTTCCTAGAGATGATGCTCATCCACATTGACATATCGTGTTGTATAAGGTATAAACGTAGTTCTCAATCAATTTTAGTGTGGTGCATGAGATTTGTAGTCCCTGTCATGCCATATGACATCCATTCCCCTGCACATGATGCTACTCAATTGCATATCATCTTCTGTGAGTCGATTGTGTTTTTTTTAATACCTTACATGTAACTGTGGAGAATATTGAATAGATCATCAGTTAGTAAGATTGTCTATCGGTTTTCAGGTAGATTACTCAAGTACTTAGAGGTAACATGGTCTGTCCATGTGTTACTCTAATTTTTTTTTTTTTGAAACGGTGTTACTCTAATACTTAGTTCAATAAAAATTGGAAGATTCTTCAATTTTATTGAAATTAGATAATTGAACAGATATAGACCAATGATAAGACATCAGCAAAAGACCAATTTCCATGGCAATTACACTATTTAAGGCAGATAGTTCTATTATAGGCTCCAGTGCTACCAAAGGTTTAGGTACCTGTATGATCACGTATAGGCACTTTAAGTTCATTCTTGAATGATTAATGTATGAAACTCATTTTGGTACGAGCTCTGATGTTTGGTATCTGCTTGGTCCCATTCTACTTGATAGCGGCCATGCTGAAGTATTTTTATGGCTAAGCACAAATTCAAAGTAAGTTGGAACTATCAAACATATGAGGCCGCTCTGGCAGCTGAGTTACTTTCGTTCCAGCGCTCCAAAAAAACCTGTCTCTGGCAGCTGAGTATTTGGTTTGTGCATCTACTCAGTTACTCTGTTTCTCTCATGAGACTGCTTACCCTTTTTAAGTTCCAATAGCATAATGTAAGAACAGTAACAGTGGAAACTATATAGAATGAGCTAGGCTAAAAATTACAATCTAGGTCAAAAAGCCTATGTTAGGTGGCTAAGTCTGAATCCAAAGGTTGGAAGTCATGTTTGAAAGCGCATCATCGATATAGTGGAGGTCACAATCATACATCATTTTTTCCCAATTACTGTGTTTCCTTTTTTTTCTTGATAACATTTTGATATGGTATACATGTAGTTTATTTATTTGATATGGTGTCTTCTTAATGATCGTCAATTCATACATATAGCTTAATGAAAATATTCCTGGATATTTTTTTACCTGTGAAAGTGGGATTACCCACCATGTGTCAAATAAGGTTACTGAATAGAGAATATCTAGTTATTGATTCCAGAAAACGAGAAGGAAATACACTGGTGGCTGCATTTCACCGTCATCCAGTGCCACAAGGCTTGACCGCAGCTGCGCAGCACCTCTAAACATGTTATCCCATTCAAATCCTTGGACACAGGAGAAGATGAGTCAGTGATGCCTTGTGGTACCGGCACCGATAGGGACCCCGGTGAATCAGCTTCAGAGACAAGATCGGACACGCAGCCATGGCGTGTCGCCTCTCTATGCTCCGAGACGAACCATGCCTGTGCGGCCATGGGCCACCAGAACGCAGAGATTTGCTGTGCGAGTGATCGAGGACATGTGATGTGTGCGGACGCGGCAAGTTGCAACACGCAACTGCGTGCACCAAGCCACCAACGCATGTGGGGCTCAGTGTTTGTACGTGAGCCGTCTTAAGGAACAGGCCGGGCAGATGACACTGTCCGTTTGCCATGTGATCGAACTGTTGTCGGGCAAGGGGAAGACGGCTGCCCGCAGGACGATGGCGGTTTTCCGGTGAGCTGTGGGCCGGTACGCATGCATATGGAACTGCTGATGCTCTCTGCACATAAGGTGCATGAACTGCTCATACTTTCTCGTCGTCATGGGCAGTGTCTCTGATCTTTATGCATGTCTTCGTTCGTGTGCATGTTACTGTGGTGGCTCCGTGCAGGTCACATGATTTTCAGGGGCTGCAGGAAAAGTGGGCTGCTCTGGGCTTTTGATATACTGAGATAATGAATGTGGTGGCCGAGGCTCACATGGTAACGGTGATGCTTGTCCTTCTCCGGTTCTCCCACAGGCGCATGAGAGGCTGCTGCATTTATCATCAGGGTTATCCGGGACCAGGCCTAAGAATTTATGAGGTTTTGTCACTTTCTATCAGAGAAACTGGCAACTGAATTTATGTTATTTATCAAAAAAAAACCTGGAGTTCTGTTCGAGGAAAAAAAAAAGGAAACAGATGAAAATCGTTACATTACATAATACATATGCCAGGTAAACAACTTAGCAAAGTATGCATTCACATGATCATCTATGTTATGGCTACTGGATTTATTCTTTCAGATGAGGATTAGCCCACATGATTAATCTGACTTTGGTCTCCTAATCATTAGAAATTAGTAAGTACGATTCTTTAAAAAAAGATTATAAATAGTAAGTACAGACCTCTTCTTGATACCCTAGTGTTGGAATATAAGTGAATTGCCCACCTCTCCCCATCAGCTTAAGCTTTTGGGTTGAATTGGTTGGTGCATGCAACTCAATATGGTATCAGAGCCAGAGATCTCGAGTTCGAATCCTGACTAGCGCAATTAAATAAAATAATTGTTG